TCCCTGATATATTTACATCTATTTTATAGGAATGAGTGAGAGTTAACACTAGAAACTTCAATCAAGCTAAATAAGCATTACTCTCCCTCTGCTCCAAAAATAAAAACAGTTTGTTTGCAATACTAAATTCAGTTTTACAAACAATAGTAAAAGTGACCACTTTTAAATAGAACATTGGTGTATAGAAGAACTCACGTATCATGCAAGTGAGACCTCGAGGGCAAAAGAATCCCTCACAACAAGGCTGACTATTAAGAGTTCGCTCAGGTACATCCTTGGAGTTCTTAAGATCCACTTTTTCATCCTCAGGAACACTGCAAGACCATCCTGGTTCACATCCAGGAACCCAGGATGTCAAATTACAATTTCGGTTGGGTTTTAAGAATTGAACCTCTGCTGATCTTGTATCCAAAAAACTGGTGAAGTAGAATTTTATCTCTGCAGCAGTACATAGCCGTTGTCTTACATCTGTTCACATGCCCAAGCGACTGTTAAGGATTAGGAGAGAGGTAGATGTAAAAAACATTGACCTGTCTAAAGAGCTTCTATGTAGATCTGTACAAGTAAAACAACGGAAATGGCAGAGTTGGTTTCTCCTAGAAACATGCATGGTTTGTTTTCTATCACCTATCATGACTAAATTCTATTTTCATGACCACCTTGTCCCATTATACCTGATCTTAGATACTATTCATTGGTTAGTGTTAGTCTGCATCTTTGTTCTTAGCTTAATTTCTGTACTATCTTTTCTCATGAACAAAACAAAATAGTCATGCCACTACTTTTTTTATATACGGAATAACTCTTAATGTACTTTTTAATTATGCCAGTTTTATTTTGATTATATTATACTCCGTACACCGTATCAAACATTATAAAAAAAGGAATCATAAATTTCTTCAGTCTTGCCTGTACACATAAAATGGAATGGTGGGAGCAATAATATCCATACTCGTGGAAAAAACTATTGCTTTTGATGAAGATTTTGGAACTTTATCTGTTTCAATTAAGAAGGGCGTACCTTAAGGCCATTTAGGATAAATCTTGGCCACTATATTCTTTTGCATGGAATTATAGGGTTAACTACAATTAGTTGGGATTAACTATTAAGTGATGATGATATAGTTCTCCCTTGAATGTAATAACTGTGGCACTAATCTAACGCTTCACAATGCAATGTCTAATTAACCTTTGCCACCTACATTGTTTCCTGGAAATTAAAAGTATAGTTGAAGGAGTACCTTTTGTCTGTTTATAACAGTTACTCATGAAATCCAAATTTTTTGAAAAATTGAAGGCTGCATTTACATCTGCATCTCTGGAATCAGTCAAACAGAAAAAAGGTTGACTGTGAGTATTACTGTATTAGCTAATAGGGAGTATATAATTATCATTAATTAATCACATAGAGAGAAACTCACACATCATTAATGCAAAATCCTAGCTCCCTGTTGATATCTTTGTTGTAAACCTTTGTAAGGTTAGAAATTTGAGTATATATGAGAGATGAAACAATTGGCACTGCAGCAGCTTGATTGCCCTCACCAATATCACCATCGGATTCATCCCCATCATCACACCAAACCGGCCCCAATGATGCTAAAGAAAGAATCAGAAACAGCAAACATGGAACGAAAATCCTCGTTCCGCTCATTTCAATCATTCCAACGCATCCTCCATAACTCATTCAATAGGCCGGAAATGTATAAGTTTTATTTGAGCTTTGCCACCAAATTTTTCGATTTGCTATATGCAATTTCCGTTCGATGTACACCTCGCGATGTGGATGAGTTGTTATGGCAATGAAATGGAGGCGGCGAGTTAGATGGGCAAGGTTGCAGCCCTGCGGGGAGCTTTTGGAGGTGAAGATGGAGCCAAAAGGAAAATGCATTTTGGTGAAGTTGTTTTGGGGATGAGTTGGGAGAGAGACGTTTAGAGTATGGGAGGAGCTCCATGGTTTCCGAAGGAACAAGAAATGGCGGTTGGGAGACGTTCGTGCCTTTTTTGTTGTGATGGAAAGATAACCCCATTTTGGTCCATTCACTTTCATCGCATTTTCAATTCAAGTATGCTAGTTGACTTTCATTCATTTTCCATTTCACTTTCTCTTTCCTGGCCATAAGTCTCTACCTTCTAACTTTTGTGCCGTTCAAAAAGTCTCTAAAAGCTTTTAATTATATGTTATCATGACAATTTTTAAAAGTTTTTCAAAAATTAATATATCTTTTTTGAGATGCTACATGAAGTAACATCTGAAAGAGCTCGTGACTTTTTTTAACATCTTTTTTGGCATGACTTTTAGTCTTAACGACTTGTATATCAAACCGAACTAAATCAAACAATCATCTTTTTACCAAACAGCTGCTACCTTTTCTTTATAAAATCTTTTCAGTCACAAAAACCTAGTTGTTATTAAAAATCTCACAAAAGTATCTTTTCGACTAATTGTGCCAAACATACCCTAAGTTCTTTAATCGAGTCATGCTTAGGAATTGTCAATTCCAATCGAGTTTCAATCGATTTGAAAAATATTGCTTCACTTGAGTTTGAGTTTACATCAAGTTGAAATTGTATTCGAGTTTTATCTATGTTAAAATTTAATTTCTAAACAAAGAATTTGATTTGTTCTCATGTATATGCACATATGTGCAATCATCAATAATTATTTAAATATAAAATCACTATTTTAAATTAAGACGAAATAAGACTGATTAATTTTGATTAAATATACTTGACCGTCATCTCTGAATGCCTGAAGTACAAATAACTCTTATAAAATATTGTCTAAAACATAAATAGTCTTTAATACCCCATATATTTTTAGTAGAATGTTTCATGTATGATCCCATACTATGGATATATGATGCAATGTCAAATACGGAGTATATGTATGCACTAGGAAGGTCAATAATTAACACATAATCAGGTAGCTTGTGAATCTTTAGATTGAAGTTAGTATATAATTTGAACTTGACTTGGTTTGATTCGAGTTGAGTTCGAGTACGGGTCATCTTTGAATCATGTCAGACTAGGTTGGAACAAGAATTGAATCATTCTCAAATAACTTGCAAGTCGGCTTACTCGATTATCATCCCTAGGAGAGTGGATAGAACGAGGACAGAATAATGGATTTCTATCATTTTTATTTTAAATGGTAGGTTTCTTTCTTTGTTCAGATAAAGAAGTAGTTCTATTTTTTGTTCAATAGAAATCTAGAAGTAATATATTTGTCATTTTTCATTTGGGAATGGTTTTTGATAAATAAAAAGAGTTTAAGAGTTTGATTAACATACTGCAAGTCCGCAATCAACAAGTCCTAAATTTCGTGATACTATTGATTTAAGCATACCGCTGTGATGGATTATTTAAACAATCGTGCTACTTGTACATGCTGGGTTACACGTCGGTTTACACGTTCAAGTGTGATTGTTTATGTGTAGATATAAAAAATTTAATTTTTTAGTATACAGAAGTGACTATGACCCCAGAAAATCAATTGCCTACGCACATACAAATTGGATTGACAAACAGTCAAACATTAACCTTTGCTTAAATTAAAATCAACTAATACAAGTAGCTTAGCATGTAAACCAACTTGTACAAGTAGCATTTATGTTATTTAAAACTCTTGCAAGCACTCAAGTGCTCATCAACAACTCTCAAATTTAATAGACCTATTTATTCATTTTTATAAATGAAAATTACTACGGACGTGTTTATTATTAGTTCAACTTGATTAACAAATAAATCTAAAGCATTTTTATGAGCACATTCTAGTCAAAGTATTTTCCCCCACCCCTTCATTGTGTAGAGTAGTATGTGAAATTATGAATGAGTTTACCCAACATTTAGCCCTCACATTATATTTATATTAGCTACAGTTTTACAAATTGGTAAATTGCATTTGATCTCAAATTTATGATTACGATTATACCCTCTCAATTCATGTAGAAGTAATTAAGAACCATGAAATATTGCACACACGTTCCTATATGATAGTCAATGGGATGCAAATATGCCTATTGCATGAAGGGTACGGTAGACATAAAAAATCTAAATGAACTGGTACTTTATCAAGGTATCAAACCAAATATCATATATATCCAAATCATTCTATACATTTTTGTCCTAAATCAAAGCTGTACCATTTGAATCGGGTGTGAAATCGATTCTAGATTTTGAGAATCGAAAAATATCATACTTGATTTTTATATTTTTCTCGATCATTTAAAAAAATATCTTGTGTAATCAAATCAACAATTTTAATGTATATTACCACCTTGTAGTAGTTCTAGTATACATCCATTCGTAAGGTTAACGGGGGCAAACACTTTTCTGCTAGTGTAGGCCGAGGGGTGAATTTTTTCATTCGTCCCCAAATTAACTAAATGTGTGTATTTCAAAATGGCATGATATCGAAGTGGTGTTTTCCTTTTGAAAGAAAACAATCATTAGTACATACAAGACATTTCATTGTGTAATTTATACTCCGTAGTAATTGTTTTCTAAATAAAAAATTTAAATCCATCTTTTGACAAATAAAAAGGTATTGGAATACATCGTGGGTGACCAAATTAAATGGAACATCCTGCCCTAAATCCAGAATGTTGTAGGGATAAATCGATCGATCACGTCAACATCGCCGAGTAACATAGATGTTAGCTCGCGTCATTGATTTATTCCAGTAAAGTTTTCCTTTTATACACATTACAAGTAAGCGTTTGAGTTAACTTTTTTCACAGACAAGATTAAAACTACACTTTTTAGCATTAATTAATGAAGCGGGAAATTGATTAACTAAAGATTAACTAACTCGAAGAATTGATGTAATCGCACAAAGTCAATCTTCACGGACTACGTGCTTATTAAAACTCGCGTTAATAAGCGGCGCATAAAATAAGAACTGTTATAAGCTCATGTTTACTTCAAAGGATTTAAAACACCGTTTAACATTAAAATGTCCAAAATAACCTTATACATACATAAACACATAAACATTTATGTACTACGTAATATAATATGTGGAAGACACCTCGTACATTTAAAAAAAAAAACTACGCCTTTACTCCTATCACCTTCCCCTACCTTGACCCTACCCTACCCTACCCTAACCCCAACCGATCCCCACCCCACTGAGTACCCCCCTACTCCTTATCACCCATATCCCCTACCCTGGGGGCCGGGGTGGGATCGAGGTAGGGGCAGGTGGCAGGGGTAAGGTAGGGGTAGGGTAAGGGGGTGTGTGGGGTGGGGTAAGGGTCGAGGGGTAGGGTTAAGGTAGATGGGTAAGTGGTGGGGGATGGGTGGGGTGGGGTCGAGGTAGGGGAAGGTGGTAGGGGGCTAAAGGGGTAGGGTCGGGGTAGGGTAAGGGGTGCAAATGGGGTATGGTACGGGTGGGGTGGTAAGGCTAGGGGTGGTTGGGGGTAGTGGGGGTAAGGGGTGTGGTCGAGATAGGGATAGGTGGTAGGGGTAAAGGGGTAGGGGTTGGGGTTGGGGTAGGGGTAAAAGGTTAAGGTAGGGGATGGTAAGTGGGGTGGGGGTCGGCCGGTCGGGGTAAGGCCGTGTAGGGGAGGGGTAGCGGGTAGAGGGGTAAAATAAAATAGGGTAAGGGCAAGGGTAAGGGTAATGGTAAATTCGGAAAATGAAAATGCTTAGAGGTCGTTCGGCAACATTGTTTTTCAGCTTATCAGTCAACTTTTTCACCAAACACGTAAATTTTGCTTTCACGTGCTGAATTGTGTAATAAGCAGAAAAAGTAAGGTTGATGTTGTTTTTTTGGCTCTATTGGCTGAAGTTAATGTAGATGACCATTTTAGCTATTTTTACATATAATTTTTTCTTTATTTTATTAATAAAATATAATTTAAAAATATTTTTTCTTAAATCAGCAGAATCAGTCAATGCAGCCACTTCAGCCAGAACTTCATAAATTTCAACAGAATCAGCCAAAACAGCCGATTTTTATGCTACCAAACGGACTCTTAAAGTGCCGTTTAATTAATACATGAGAGTGGTATGTTTAGCAAGCGGCACTTTAAGCATCTTTTTCGGTTAGTAAGCAACTTTTTAAACAACTTGCCTATTTACTTCACCCGTTTTACTAACCTAACCGTAACTTTAGCAGCGAAGTAAACACCTCATAAAGTTTGCAACTTATTTGTTAGCATGTTAATAATTTTAACTACGACCCGTAGCTAAAAAATGAAAGCAAATAAATTTCTTAACTAATAAGATGGGTGGCAACTGGCACGTCAATTCATTCTAGCTATAAATTATAGCTCAACTATGAAAGAAAATAAAGTTCCTTAAAGTATGGCTACTTAATTAGGTGCATTGAAAAACTATGTCTTTACAAAAATTGTGAAATGTGGATTAGAAGACAAGAAAGCATCCAAATCATCAATTTAATCAGAGTTTAAGTAGTAGGTTCAAAACTTTTCCATAGAGCTTAGAGCCAGAGGAGATTAGATCAATCAAACACTCATAAAAGTGTGAAGATTTGAAGGTGTGTGTTGAGGAGATTTAGATAGCAATGTACTGATGATAAAAAAAAATAAAACAGGTAATAATTAATAGAAAGAAAACTGACATAAATTATATGGTACAACCGGTTGTACCATGCGCATTGTACATCCGGGTATTTTAGTTTATATTTAATGAATATATAGCTCAAATGAAACGAGTATTATTATTAAAATATAAAATTAGCACAATAAATATTTTTGATGACAATACAATGATAATATATTTAAATGAATAAGTTAATTTGTAGCATATATACTATATATATATATATATATCACTGGTAAGTCATAGCACTTTATTGCACACTTCTATACTAAATTGTGCTACCAAAACAATGATTTAATATTAATGCCCATTTCTTTTAAGGGAATAAGACTAAAATAAGACTAAAACAAAGGAGGGGAACTTAAATAAGAGTCCGATCTTTTTAACTCCTATCTAGGACTAATTTTGATGTTGGGGGACGAAAATACCCTCGTCTCTTAAAATAACCTTTCTCCTACGACTGCGATGTGGCTAGTTCG